GCGCATGCGCAATATCCCCCGAAAGAAATCGTATTTTGCAAAGATTATGCATTTAAAATGAAGAGGAGTTATCCTAGCATAGATTTGTATGATAACATTCCATCAGTAGACATCATTTAATAAATAGCAGGAAGACCTTGCATGTAAGGTCCCCGCTGCGTATACCAGCCAGGACATAATCTGGCTACGTTAGTGTGTTAGCGCATGCGCAATATCTCACCAGTGGAGTTACATTTTGTGATGAATATACATTTAAAATGGTTAGGGGGTATCTCAGCATAGATTTCTGTGGTAAATTGTTATCGGTAGACCTGTGTTTATAACTAGGAGAGTGCCCTAGCATGTAGAGTACAAAATATCTGCTTTATGCCCTCGCGTCCTACCCCTTGCCTCCCCTGTCCCTCGCTCAGCTTCTTTCTTCTTCTACCGCTCCCAACTATCTTTCCTGCCGCCTTTCCTCAGTCTCCCATCCCCTCTTTCCCTCAGCAACCTATATTATAATGTTTGCCTCAGACGGCACTGCACGCCTAACACGAGGCGCGCGCATGCGCAATATCCTTCGAGAGAAATCGTATTTTGCAAAGATTATTTATTTAAAATTAAGAGGAGTTATCCTAGCATAGATTTATATTATAACATTCCATCAGTAGACATCATTTAATAAATAGGAGGAAGACTTTGCATGTAAGGTCCCCGCTGCGTATACCAACCAGTACACAATCTGGCTACGTTAGTGTGTTAGCGCATGCGCAATATCTCACCAGAGGAGTTATATTTTGTGATGAATATGCATTTAAAATAGTTAGGGGGTATCTCAGCATAGATTTCCCTAATGAACTTTTATCAGTTGACATGTGTTTATAATTAGGAGAGCGCCCTAGCATGTAGGGTACAAAACACCTACTTCATGCCCTCGCGTCCTTCCTCGTGCCTCCCCTGTCCCTCGTTCAGCTTCTTTCTTTCTCTACCACCCCCAGCTATCTTCCCTGCCGCCTTTCCTCAGTCTCCCATCCCCTCTCCCCCTCAGCAACCTATATTATAATGTTTGCCTCAGACGGCACTGCACGCCTAACACGGTGCGCGC